CCTCCAGGTTGTTCAGGTGTGTTTTTAATGAAATTTCATGCTTTGGTTCCTCATGTGCCTGGGTGACTGAACATCAGCCACAGCTAGAGCTTTTAATGCAGTCCCTGCTGTGTGTGAAGGGTGGAGCCCATGGTGGCACCTGACAGGGAGGTGACAGAAGAAACAGAAACCCAAGCAGTTATCCTGTGAACATACTCTAAAAGCCTAGAATCCTCCAGGGTGTGAGAAGGGTCACCTATAGGTCCCAAGGGAAATTTCCATGAAGTTAAGTAGATTTGTCTTTGGAGATTTATCTTTCTTGTGGTTTTGGTATTAAAATATTTGTAAATGTAAATGGCATATTGTGGAGCTATACTTGTGGGCTGGTGTTTGTTGGGAGTTTGCTTATGATACACTGGAAGTACTAGTTTCTTTTCTCCTGCCGTGGGCAAGTACCTAACAGAAGCAAGTTAAGGAAGGAGGGTTTATTTTGGCTCACAGTTTAAGAGGATACAGTCCCTCATACTGGGTGGGCAAGGTGGCAGAGCATGAGATGGCTGGTCATACTGTGTCTGCAAGTCAGAAAGCGGGAAGATTGCCAACGTACCACCCAGTTCTCCTTTTTGTTTGTTATTTTTGGTTTTTCAAGACAGGGTTTCTCTGTATTGCTTTAGAGTCTGTCCTGGAACTAGCTCTGTAGACCAGGCTGGCCTCAAACTCACAAAGATCCGCCTGCCTCTGTCTCCCGAGTGCTGGGATTAAAGGCGTGAGCCACCAACACCGGGCTAGGTTCTCCTTTTTGTTCAGTCTGGGCCCCCAACCTGTGGGGTACTGCTGTCCCCATTCAGGGTGGGTCACTCCTCCTCTGTTAAACCTTTGAGAACACCCCACACTAACCAGTACATAACCAGTAACCAAAGGTGTGTCCCCGATGGGCCAAAGAATAAGGATCACACCAGAGAACCGCTAAAGCCCCTAGGATGCTTTGATGCAAACTGGTGTGCTCTTTCGTTGTTAGACTGCTGTGGTCATTCTGCCCTCAGCGTTACTCAGGGCCCTGCTACTTTGAGTGCCTCTTCTCACCCTGGCACTTCGCTTTCCCGTGTCTGCTTTTATGCCTAATCTCCAGGCTACACAGGAAGTGCCACAGCTCTTGAATGCTGGAGTGCAGGTGAGTGATCCCAGGATTGTGGGGCCAGGCCCATGGCCCTTTGCTGCATTGCAGACACTGGAGAGGTTTTGTCACAGGAATTTCACTGCACATTGAGTACTTGTGGAGGGCCTCTGTTCTCTGCTGGGCAGGCATTCCATGACAGGTGGGGAGCAGTGATACAGAGACTGTTGGGAGAGCCAGTGGTCTCCACAGAAACACTAAAGAAAAAATGCACATGGACGTCCAGCTGCAGCCATTATGACCTGTCACCTGTCACAGGCTGTCTGACCCCCAGGAAGTTTGTGTTTTGAGGTTAGGTCCCAGCTGGGTGATTTTGAGCAAGGTCCATAATCTTCCAGGGTGCTCTCTCCTGAGAGAACACTTAGCCTGAGTGTCCTCTGTCTGAAAAATAATAGAACAGTCCCTACTGTGAAGGACCCTCAACGATTTAGTGAGGTGACATTGAACGATTGCCTACAATGGTGACAGATCAGCAGCAGAGACCAGCCCCGTCAGCCTTCAGTGCTGTGATGCTGGAATTTTGTTCTTTTGAGACAGGGTGGCCTAGACAATGGCATTAAGTTCACTGTGTAGCCCAGGCTGGCCTCACACTTCTCACACTTGTGATCCTTCTGTCTCAGCTTCCAGAAACGCACATTAGTTTTCGTTTTTTTCTTTTGTTTCCTTACTATATTTTTTCTTTTTTTAATTAAAGTTTTATTTACAGTTTTTTATTTATTATTATTGAGTGTATATGTACACACTAGTCCATGTTTACCATGCACACACTAGTCTGTGTATACCATGTGCACTAGCATGTACATGAAGGTTACAGGGCAACTTCTGGGCAGTTGGTTGTTTCCTTCCATGGTGGGTTTGGGATTGAACTCAGCAAGCGCTTGTCCTCACTAAGCCCACTCCCTGCCACCTCAATCTCCATATGTAGCCCAGGCTACTCTGGCGTTCACACCTCTTGCCTTAGCATCCAAATGCTGGGATTGCATTTCTTCCCTGTTTCCTTTGTTGTGACATGAAGTCGCCCCTATGAACGCATGGTATCCATGGGAACACATTTCTCTCCTAAAGCCTCTGCTCTAGCTTGGAGCACTATGGTTCCAGTCCTTGCTGCTCCCTTGGATCTACTCAGCTTTGGCTCAGAGGGAGACTGCTAAAGTTGGCGCTCACCCTCTCTGGTGCCCCCTCCCCCCATCATTCACTGTTTCCAGAAGCCCAGTTGAGCACTGGCAGCTTCTGCAATGTTCTGCAGAAGCACTCAGAATTTCCATTCCCTCCTTCCCGGGCAGCAGGCAGCACCAGTCTGGTGTCGGGACAGGAAGCCAATAACCTTCTCCCAGTAGTCTTTTCTGATGGAGCCGTGGGGACTCCGTGCCTAGGGGAAGAGTGTGTTTGGAAGGAGTGGGCTCAGGGCTGAGAATACCTTCAAGGCTTGCTGGTGACTTCAGATGAGTTTAGTGATTGACTCCACTTTTACAGATGAGGAGGTAGAGGCACTAGCTGGTCAGTGGAACTGAGGCCTCTCTGGCTCCTCATACCTCACCAGTGACAGAACTCCCTGAGCCTGTGGATCACTGTGGTAGGCCCGAGCTTTCTTGGCAAGGCTAGTAGACTTCTGAAGTGTTTCCTTTTGGAATGGGCTTCTGGGTAGGCACTGAGATCAGAAGTACTTGATCCCTGGAAGGACTGGAAGAGTCCTGGTTCCGAAAGCCACATCCCAGCAGACATGTCAACAGAGGTTATGTGGGCGCAGCACTGATTTCTCAAGAATGCCCCTCTGCCTCATGTCACACAATCAAGTTCTTAAGCCACCAGATGCAGCATTTCCCAAGTTCCCATCAATAAATATATCCTTGAGAGTTTGTGGTTTATGAGCTCTTTCCTAAGAAAGAAAAATATTCAGTAGACCTACAACTGTGGAGACTCCAAGGTACTGAACTAGGCCCACCGTATGTGGGAGTCAGTTGTGAACCTTGGACTAGCTGAGGGGCCACGATATAACCCTGGTATAAAAGCTAGCTTGTTGGAGCCCATTTCCTCTGGTTGGGATGCCATGCTCAGCCTCCATGCTGAGGCCTGTCCCTCCCAACCTATTGTGCCAGACTATGTTGACTGCTCATGTGAGCCCTTCCTTACCCGTGAGGAGGAGTGGGGGGGCGTGGAGTGGAGGGGGAGACAGAGGGGGATGAGAGGAAGAGGGGAGTCAGGAGGAGGTGTGGGAGGGAAAACTGTGGTTGGAATGTAAAATGAAATTAAAGAAGAAAAACAATGGAAGAAAAAGAAAAATATTCCGGTAGCTTCCACATGCTGAATTGCCCTTATCTTCCTCCTTTGTCACTTGGAAATCCTCTCCTGGGTCCATTCTCTTTGAGGACTGTGATGCAATCCTGGTGAGCATGTCCAGGCCGGATCATCTTCCTGGACCTGGTGGATGTGGATTTAGTCTAAGAGGGAAGACATTGAGGGGAGATGGAAGCAGCCACTGCTGACTGTGGGTCTACAGGCATCCCCTGTACTGTCAGGGCTGGGCAGTATCCTAGGTGAGCCCCAGGTGTACAGTATACTCACTGCGCATGGCTCTGATAGAACAGGCTTGGCTCTGGTGCATGGGTGGATCACAAGCCTTGATGCTAGTGATATCCTGGGTTTGTGGGGAAAGGAGTGATGAGTTCAAGCAGGATGCGAGAGGGGGCAGCAGATCGTGGACAGGCCTGTGAAGAAGCCTGCGTTGATTCATCTGCCTGTGCTCGATCCCTTTTTCTGAAGGTGACGTGGCTAGAGGAACAGGGTGGGAAGAAGGAGCCCCGGGTGTGCAGGAGCAGAGGCGTTCCTGATGGGCACTTTAGCAGAGGGAGGAGTGTAGGTGAAACCACCCCATGGAGAAGAAAATGTGATATGAGTGCCGGGACACGGAGGCAAGAGAAGGGCACTCGGGAGGTGGATTGGATGGACAGAGCCCTGAGGGCGACATGGTACATCTAGAATATCCATTAGACACTGGTGGGTCACCAAAACTTGGGGGTGGCCCAGAGCATGAGCTGTCACTCGCACACAGCGGAGCAGCAGGCATTGGAATTGTGGCATCCACTGACCTGCCTCCAGGCGCCCATGCTCAGGGAGTCCTGCTCAGCACCTGCAGGCTGCTTCCTGGGGCAGGAGAGGCCTGCATCCGAGTATAGAGAGGGGCTCAGTGAGGGGCTCAGTGACCCTTCGAGTCATAAAAACCCAAGTGCCTCCCATCCCTGGAGTCCTGTCTGAAACAAGCCAGCTGTGCCTGCCCTGTGGGTTCTGGCTCTCACCAGCCATCCTGGCAGGACAGTCACATAGAGATCTTTGTTTTTCCAGGGGATCTGGGGCAGGGCAGGATCTGGAACATCCCCTTTAATTTTTGAGCCACAGCTGCTGGGCCCTTAGGCAGATGTTAGTGAAGTCTGGAGCAGCCAGTGTTGGGAGGGTGGGCTTGAAGTTAAACTACTGTCTGGGAGAAGGGGGGACTTCTTTATGTCTCTGGCTCCTCCAGGATGCACGCTGGATGGTGCCCGAGAATGAAGGGGGGCCAGCCTCCCTGAGGACCTCTGGGAGACCTCGGAGGGCACTCAGGGGTCCACCTGCTCCTTTGCCCAGTCTAGACTGCCAGGCTCTCAGCTCCATTTCTCAGTCTCTGCTGTGGGAGATGGGCATGTGAGTCTGTGCTGCAAGGGTGTGTGTCCTGTTTCCCTGCTCTGCCCTGCTGACACTCTGAAGCCATTTCCTCGGATTCCTGGCTTCTCAGATAATCTGTCTTTTAAAACGAGCCTCTCTCCTTGTTTCCTCAATACTAAATAGACTGAGGGACTGTGCTTTCTGTCTTTAGCCAGAAATGGATTTACCTGGCCCACCAGGCAGAGACAAGATTCTGGAGTCGGTGCAAGGCCAGCCCCAGGAGCCCGTCAGTATGCCCCAGACCCTGACCAGCACACTGGAGCACATCGTGGGCCAGCTGGACGTCCTCACACAGGTAGGGCCTGATGGGGACATGAGCTCGCACGTGTGTACACACACACACACACACACACACACACACACACACACACACACACACGCGCACCCATCTTCTTTGTTCTAGCATTTGAACCATTTGATGTTGGTTGGCAGATACTGAGACTTGTTTTAATGAGCCAGGGTCACTTTGTGTAGCCTAGGGTGACTTTGAACTGGAAATCCCCTTATCCTAGCCTCCTGAGCACTGCTGTTATGTGTGTCGCCATGCCCAGAACCTACTGGGTTTTTAAAAATAGAAGCTCACAGTGCCTTTGTGTGCCTCGTGGACTTGGTGTGTCCTTCACTGAATCAAAGGCATGGTGCCTGTCTTGGTTATGTTTTCGGTTGCTGTGGTGAAACACCATGACCAAAAAAAAATTGGGGGAAAGGGTCTATTTGGCTTACACTTTCACATCATGGTTCATCACTGAAGGAAGTCAGCACAGGAACTCAAGCAGGGCAGGAGCTAATGCCACGAAGGGGCACTGCTTACTGGCTTGCTCCCCTTGGCCTGTTCAGCCTATACAATCCAGGACTAGCAGCTCGGGGTGGCCCCACCCACAATGGGCTGGGCCTCCCCCATCAAATACTAATTTAGAAAATGCCCTACAGCTTGCCTGTTGCCTGATCTTAAGGAAGCATTTTCTTTTGTTTTTCAAGACAGGGTTTCACTGTGTAGCCCTGGCTGTCCTGAAACTCACTCTGTAGACCAGGCTGGCCTTGAACTCAGAGATCTGCTTGCCTCTGCCTCCTGAGTGCTGGGAATAAAGGTGTGCACCACCACCACCTGACTGGAAACATTTTCTTAACGGAGGTTCCCTCTTCTCAAGTGACTGTAGTGTGTGTCAAGTTGATACAGAACTGGTCGGCACAAAGGCTCACACCTTTGATTTTCACCCTTGGGAAGCAGAGGCAGATGGGAGTCCGTGAGTTCGAGGCCAGCTTGATCTACATATTAAGTTCCAGGCTGGGCAAGGCTGCATAGTATGAGGCTCTGTTTTTTAAAATAGTTTTTCTTTGTGTGTGAAGGGGGAGGAAGAGAGAAAGAGAAGAGAGAGATAGAGAATGGACCTTTTTTCCAACCTACATTAATGAAATATCAGTGTCTTCCCTGGAACCTGGCTGTTGGACCTGTGTAAGCTGAAGCTACCAGACTCCAAAGTCACCACACAGTCAGCACACAGGTTTCTGCCAGTTTGTCCACCCTGCTATGGCTGGAGTTACAACCGTGCTTTGAGGGAAATACTGTCCATTCACCCCATTCTCACCTGCCTGAGAGCTGGGAGCAGTGAGTTGGAGTCTATGCAAGCCTGGGTTTAGACTCAGGGTCATTGTTTATTCCCCTGGTGTCCTTGGAAAAAATCCTTTAGTTCTCTAAACTCTGGTGCCTTGAGCTGTCATGAATGCACGGGTGGTCTGGGCTCTTGCCTCCATGTTTGTGGTAAGGGTTAGCGGCTTTGAATCTCTGCAGAGTCTGGCTCATGCCTGGTTCTAGGTATCTGCTGAGTAAGTGTTTGCAGTGGTCTTGCCCGGGACCCTCATCGGTGAGGTAAACGTGGGTCCTACTCTCCAGAGCTTAACTTACACTGGCAACTTGCAGTTTATAGCACAGTAGCTTCAATATAAACAAAATACCCTAACAAGAGGTGGCAGCTGCCCAGAGGAGCATCACATCTGAGGGAGTGGGGGGGGGGGGGCTAGCTGACGGTGGCTCGGAGGGCAGGGCAGTGCTGAAAGATACTCTGCCCCTGGTGCCTTGGCTTTAGCGGCCTGGCAGGGACTCCACAGATGCCTATGTCCCGTGCCGGCTTGGGGTTAGTGAGGCTGTGGGAGGGACACATGATCTGCTTGGAAGGGTTGTAAAAGCAGGGAGTGGAGAGTAGTCCCCAGTGCAGCCCTACACAGGAATGCAGAGGACAGCTAATAGACATGGAGCCGGAGCAGCCTGGCAGCCTTTCCCTGACTCCACATTGTCACATCTTTAGTGGAATGTCAACTTTGGGCCCACGGATGGAGGCACCCAAGGGAGAGGCGGGTTGTCAGGGTTGTAGGACTGCAGACATGCTGGACATCCCGCTAACCCCTGAGAAGAAAGCCTGCTCTGAAGAGATATGAGCACGTGCTAAGTCTTTAAGATGAAAAACCCACTTCTAGCCTGATGGAAAGCACCTCGTGCCCCTCACAGCCTCATCAAGTGGGAGGTCAGGGGAGGCGGAGCCGTTAAGACTTCACAGGGTAAAACCGGAAGTTAAGTCTGAGAGGTGGCCAGAAATACAGGAACGTAGCAGCGAAAACACTTGCTGCCGCTGCTTAGGGGTGCACATGGAAGGCTGTGTTTTGTGTTAGCAGTCAGGAGTATGATAGTAGCTTTGTAAGAAACTCACAGCACAGAGCAGAGTGTTGGGCTGCCCCATGACACCCTTGTCCTACTTGACAGTGTTTGGTCTCTTTGCAAATCCGTGGTAGTCTTATCCTCTGTTCCTTGGTGCCACAAAGTGAAAAGTGTTCCTTTGGACCCCGGGTGTCCTGAGGAAGCTGGGGTTCCATGAAACCCCATGTAAGGCCATAGGCTCATCCCCGCCTTTGTATAAGGTACACTGGGAGGCTTGATCATCAGTTGCCCATACTGAACCAGCCCTCTCCTGAGGCCTAAAGCTTCCTTTCAAGCGGCTTGTTCAGCCGGGCCCCTGTCTTGTGTGAGTTCTGGCCTTGGGTCTACCCCGTCCTCACTGTGTGCTTAGTCCTAACGCCCTCCCTGCCCTGGCCACCTCAGCACTGACGCCTGCCTCAGTGGCGTCTTTATGAATCATGTGTTGTGCTGTCTACTTCTGCGTGGGCTCCTGGAAGGAGATGGCTCCTCTTGGGTCCCTTACACGTTTCCTACAGAACCTCTTTCCAGGGAGAGCATGAATTTGCAGTGGACAGGGATGATTCCTGAGTGAGTTACAGGTCCTCCAGTGGCACCTTACAAAGGACTAGCTCCCTTTGTTTGTTTGTTTTTTGAGACAGGGTTTCTCTGTATAGCCTTGGCTGTCCTGGAACTCAATGTAGAATAGTCTGGCCTCAAACTCAGAGATCTGCCCGCCTCTGCCTCCCAAATGCTGGGAGGAAAGGTCTGTGCCGCCACTGCCTGCCCCGATGAGACCCTAGTTCTTAAAGCTGAATTCTTAGTCAGCTTTAGTCAGCTGGCAATCCTAACACTCAGAATGCTGAGGCAGGAGGGGCAACGGTGTAAGGCCAGCCTTGTCTGATCAGCCAAATGGTTCCTCAAAATACCAGAAAAATATGAACAAAAACCTACCTTCTTATTCAACAGTCTGGGTGTGTGGGTATACAGCTCAATGTATATCCTCTGTGGATGTTTGTAGTCTGTTTGCCACCAGTCTGGGGGACAGATACAAAAATCTTAGCCCTCTTTAGGGTGACACTCTGCCCCAGCAGTCCTTCTAGAAAGAAAAGTCCTGAAGTCAGGAGACTAAGCGGTCCCCTTGGGGCTGAGTGTGTGTCTGACTTCAGTGCAGCCCTTACTTAGTGATCTGGGGAAAACCCGGTCATCCTGTGCCTTGATGTCTAAGCCTGGAATGCAATGCTGTTGCCAGCACCTACTGTCCAAGCCTCTGGGAATACAGAGTGAGCCCACCTGCGGAGCTCACCAAGCAGTGCCCAGCAGTGCTCTATTCCTGTCGTGTTAGGAGCCTCCCCTGGTACTGCTGGCACTGCTGCCCAAGGCTTGCTGGGGACAAGCCTTCCATAAGACAGCACCACAAGGCCTTGCCTTCAGTCTTCTAGACCTTCCCTCTGCCCGTGGGAGCCATTTCTCAGCCCTTATGCTAGAAGTGATAGTTCTCTATGCACACACATTCACTGAACCCATTCTGTTTGCTCCTATGTGAAACCCAGTCCCATTCCTGAGACTGAATCCCCTTGACTGAATTTGATGCCAGAGCCAGGCTTTAAGACAGAACAGGCAGTTGGGGCCATTGAGAAAGCTAGGAGCGATGCATAAGGAGCCCAGCCAGCCAAGGCATGGAGGCCTTGGGTCTTTTGGCGGGAGTTACAGAAGCAGCAGCCCAGGAGTGACTGGACACTGAACAGAGCAGGTTGGAGCCTGACCCAGCAGAAGCCTGAGGGGTGTGGGAGTGAGATAGGGTCACAAGGGGGTGGGGGAGACTTAAGCAAGAGGCAGAGCTGTCACAGGCTTGCTCCTGGGAAGCAACTTCCTAAAACCTAGGAGCTGGATTTCACTGCAGGTCAAGGAAGTGGGTTGTGACATCAGCAAAACTGTGAGGCATCAAGCCTCCCCAGGGAGCAAGTTGGGCCCCTGGGAGCAAGAGGCCTTACAGGTCTATCAAAATTCCAACTGCCCTTGGGGTTTGTGCAGCATCAGAAATCAGTTCTTTAAGACACACACACACACACACACACACATGCGCGCGCACATGTGCACACATTGGGGTTGTTCTGGTTTTACCTTTTAGAGACTCCCATGTTTGTAAAGTATATGAATTATATGCATTACTTTTTGAAAGTGCATTTATGAGCCAGGTACAGTGGTTCACACCTTTAATCCCAGCACTTAGGAGGTAGAGGCAGGCAGATCTCTGAGTTTGAGGCCAGCTTGTTCTACAGAGAGTTTTCCAGGACAGCCAGGGTAACACAGAGAAAAAATCCTGCCTCAGAAAAGGGGCTGGAGTTTAGGGTGGGGGAGGCATTTATAAGAGAAACATAACTTTTCCAGTGACCTTGCAAGGTATGGGCCCTTTGCTTCGTCTCCTGCTATCTGTAATGCCAGCTCAGGTTGGCCTGACCTTTCAGGTCTCCTCCAGTTGTTTTATATGGAAAGTCCCTGAGAGCATCACTGCTTGGCTGAGGCCTCAGCTCTTCAGGGCTCCTTGCTTGATCTCTTTAGGGTTTCCCCGACAGTTAGTATCTTGCCAGGTACTGATAAGGCTGTTGTACCTGGATCTACCCTGTGGC